CTCACTAGGGGAGTTCTTAGAAGAATTATGATAAGAATATAGTAGGCTATAGAATATGCTGCCTATTAAAAAATAGTGAGGTAACACTTATGCACTGACACAAAATGCTATCCAAAATATTAAGTGAGAAAATTCAAACCACTAATATTAAGTGTGAAAATGCAAATATAACTCAATTTGCTTTTAAAAAAGAAACGTGTACAGGTTTTATTAATGCAGACAAAGGGGACATTAAGGCTGCACAGGTCTCTACACAGTGGTCACCTCTAGCATGTGAGGAAGGAAGTTTATGACTCCTTTGGCGTGAGACTATATTTAGTACCTACATATTTTATAAAAATATGTAGGTACTATTTATACAATAAAAATACAACAAAAAATTAACAAAGAGATCCACACGCACATCAGCAGCCTCTCTGGACAGCAGGTATCCTTCTGGAAGGGGCCAGGCAGCTCTCTGGGCTCTTTGGCTTTAAGTATGAATTGAGAGGGTGCTGTTACGGGGGCTATGCTCTGAGACCCTAAATATTAGCCCATTCTTACAGGTACCCTGAAAAAAATCAACCAGCTTTACCGTCCAGTACATGCTGAAAAGAAGCCTAAACATATTTCCAAAGATGTGCCTAAATTCGGGCTCAACAGAGCAGATGACTTAAGCCACCTGGCTGCTGACTCAGATGGAGAAAGCACAAGGGAAACTGTAACCAAACCCGTAGGATCTGAAGCAGCTGCAGTTATATCTGTCCTTTGGCTCTCTGAGGCTGGCCCAGTGCCTGCCTATAATGCCAGCAGCAGAGCATAGCTAACCCAAAGGGACCAAATCCTGCTGTCCAGAATTGTGGCCGCCCGTTGGGAGGGCAGCAGGAAGAGACAGCTCCCTGGGCAGACCGGACTCCCTTTCCCAGGGGTGCACTGGCTGCCTCCACTGCTCAGCAACAAGCATCCCTTTCCTAGGGTCTCCGAACACACCAGGTTAGGACCCCAGAGAATCAAAGCAGCCCTGAGGAGGCCTGCACTACAAACCTTCTCAAAAGTCCCCAAGAACATGAACCCCGTTCAGAGTCCGGTCTACTGAAAGGTAGCCGCACACTCAGGGAATTCGTTTCTCCAACAGTTTGGATAAATACTGCTAGAATTTCAGAGCTTGAAGGCCACACAGTCCAGTTATGCTTGTGCTAGAGGCCCTGTGCACAGGTTTGTGCACCGGTGGGGCCCCTCACACCGGTGTACAATCAGGGCTGGGGAGGGACCACAGGAGGGCTCCAGGGCGTGTCCAGCCTGTCTCACCCAGTCCGGATCAGCCGGACCCCAGCAGCAAGCTAACCTATCGGTCAGAGCATCTGCCCCCTGGTGGTCAGTGCGCATCACAGCGACTGGTCAAACGGTTGGTCAAACAAACGGTTGGACACTTAGCACATTAGGCTTTTATTATATAGGGTTCTACACAGAGTTGTCACCCAGCTATTTCCTAAATCTTCCCCACCCCAGGGTGACGTGTGCTGCCCCTCTAGAGGCATCTGGGGACAGCTGTGTTAGAAATGAGGGTCCTTTTGTGGCACAGAACTGTCTCCCTGCAGCCTCCACACTAGGCCTGTGTGAGCTGCTGTGGGAGGCGGAGGGGCCAGAATCTCCATTGAGTGGACTCACCTGCAGCCACCATGCGGGCACCCAGCAGAGCCTAAAGGTCCGCTTGCTGCTCTGCCCATCAGTCTCTAAGGCCTGGGCAGGTTCTGTCCCTCTTTTCTGAAAGAAACCCAGTGAACTGAACTAGTGAGAAAATGGGCCAAAGGCTGAGAAGCAGCCTTTAATGTGACACCCAGTATGTTTTATCATATGAGGCCATTCTCTCTCTAACCTTTAACAGCCCCCTCTCCCCACTGGTCAGCTCCAAGGACCAATAGAAGACAAATGAAGTACCTTGTAAGTGAGGCAGCCACAGGGACAGGTTATAATGCAATGCACAGTGTACGACAATGAAAGGCTACCCCAGGCTCCAGAGAGGGTGCACCTCTCATGAGAGGGAGGATGAAGCCAGGTTTAAAGTTTGCAGGCCTATTTCACACTCTGGGCTAGTGCTCATTCCCCAAAGTGGTGCGCAATATTTTATTGATTTTTTACAGAGAGGAAGGGAGAGAGATAGAGAGTTAGAAACATCGATGAGAGAGAAACATCGACCAGCTGCCTCCTGCACTCCTCCTGCTGGGGATGTGCCCGCAACCAAGGTACATGCCCTTGCCCGGAATCGAACCTGGGACCTTTCAGTCCACAGGCCGACGCTCTATCCACTGAGCCAAACCGGTTTGGCAGCGTCTGCCTCATTTAAACTACTTCTCGAGGTTGTTGTTGTTCTCCTTTATTGCTTTGTTTGTTTTTGTACAAAAGCTTAGTGTGCATAAAACAACATGCTGCAGGACATGATCCCACTGTACCAACTCCAGGTACTAATGTATGTCCCTCTCCTCTTCTCTCCTGAGCCTTTCTTCTGGCTTTATCTGATGTGCTCTGAGCTTGACAGGTATTCCCTGGTCCTGATGGCTTCATCCCTCATGCCTGTCCTGCCCTGTCCTGAAGCATTTGAGAAGACATGGGAGTCTGCCTGCTCGGCAGCTCTTTAGCCAAGTCCTGGCCAGCCTTAACCTGCCTGGTGCTTGCAGCTCTACACTCTCTTGGCACTGAATCACACACAACTGGATGATGTTACCCGTCAGAATGTCTGTTCTAGTAGATGGTAAACTCCTGCAGGGTGAGGAGAGGACCATGCCTCAGACTCTTTTCGTGTCCCCTCAACCCCCAGCATTGCTATGCACACAGCCTAAGGCCACGCTCTGGCTGCACAAACCCACCACCAATGCCAATTAAATGCCTCTCAGACAACCCATCAATGTGGATGAGTCTACAGCATTACTGGTGCAGGTACCCTAGGTGCCCCTCTAATATGTGGCCAGGATGGTAACCAACTCCTCCCTCCTGGCATCAGGTGCCCAAGACTGTTTGTTGCTCCTCCATGACAGCGACCATGACTCCTTTACACCTGGGTCCTCGGTGCCCAGCCCTGGGTCCAGCCCACAGCTGGTGTACTCATACTCAAGGAGCATTTGCTGCAGGGAGAGACTATCTCCAAGACCCATGCTAGTCGGTGGTTTTCCTTCCTGCTGGAAGCCTCAGCAGCCGGCCATCTGGAAGGTGGAAGGGAAGGAACCCCATGGCTTTGCCTACCCAGAGACAGGGAAAACGGCACACTTATTTTTCCACAGCGAATTTGGCAACTTCCTGAGAAGCTGAACAACTTCGTGCCCAAATCAAACGCAATGTAACCCTTTTCTAACCAACTCTTCTCTCAATTCACTATTTCCTTCAACAAAAACACTACTCTCCCCTCACCCAGGCCTGCAGCCTTTCCAAAACTCTGACCTGTCTCTGCCCTTCGTGTCCTATTAAAAATGAGGTACTCAAGTGCTGCATGACACTCCTCCACCTCTCAGAAATCACTCCTTCCCATCCTCTTCCACTCTTGGCCCCCATACATGCACAAGACCTCAACTGATGCCCCATCTTGCGGCACCCAGACTCCCTCACCCCACTCTCCCCTCCTCCACAGACCCTATATGCCACCATCAGGCTATTATTGTTATATATATATATATATATGTATATATATATATATATATATAAATTGGTTTTTTTACAGAGAGGAAGGGAGAGGGATAGAGAGCTAGAAACATCAATGAGAGAGAAACATCGATCAGCTGCCTTCTACACACCTCCTACTGGGGATGTGCACGCAACCAAGGTACATGCCCTTGACCGGAATCGAACCTGGGACCCTTCAGTCCACAGGCCGACTCTCTATCCACTGAGCCAAACCGGTCAGGGCGGGCTATTATTTATTAAGTGCTGTTTTCAACGGGTCCCTCCTTTGCTCAAATAAGAACTTCATACTTTTTAAATCATCAAGTCTGTACACCTCTGTTCTAAGTGACTCAGGCCCCCATCACTCTCCTATTCCAGGAACCCCGACTAATTCTCCTACCTCGGCTAGAACCGCCACGGGCTCCCCCTTTCAGGAACATGTAACATTTTTTGCCATCTCGGCATCTTGGCAAAGCTCTCACCTCTGCTTATCCAAATCCCACCCACGCTCCAAGGCTCAGGGCCGGCCCAACCTCTCACATAGGTCCAGCTCCACCAACCTCTGCGTCCCCACCCCCAACTGTCTCCAGCTGTCCGTCATACGCGCTTTCCTGTTGACTCAAACACTCTCTCCTGTGCTGAAAGCCAGAAGAGCTGAGGTGGAAGATCATACACTTTTTAGCCACGTGATCCTGCCCAAACCACCAGACTTTCGAGTCTCACAGAACTGTTATTATGATCAAGTGAGAATTTATATGAAGGGGACTCGTTCATCTCATTCATAATAAGAACATCTACGTGGAGGATGTTGGTATCTGTCTATTACCTGCCAGCCACAGGTATGTCCTATCATTCACAATCCTGCAGCCCCAAAGTTTCGGTAAATATCAATTAGAATAAGATAACAAAGGGATAAAATAACTTTTCACGGAGCACTTGTCTCCACAGCCAACGTTCAGCCACGCAGGGACTTCTCTGGCACAAAATCTTAGATGACAACACGAATGTGTGTAGGGACAAGGTGGGGGGAGACAGCTGTTCTGGTGGCAAAGGCGCCGGTCATAAGAGTGGAACTGAACACGATGCGACAGCCGGGATCAGCAGGGCGCAGCAGACACAACTGAGGAGTAAGGATGCGAGGATGCGAGCAGAGTCCACATGGGCACAAATGAAGTCCCCGTGGACAAAGAATGCTTCAGACCAGAAAACCGGGGCTACCTTTCTTCCCCACGTTCACGCAGCTCAGCAGTGAGCACTGCCAGGGGCACAGGGTAGAATCACGTCTCAGGCCCCGGCACCTCCCAGAATGCCGGCTCCGCTCGGCCCACCGCCCGCTCCGCCCGCCACGCCCCTCCCGCCCCGGGCCCTACCGATGGAGATCTCCTGCGCGTAGGCCAGCGAGATGAGCAGCAGGGGCAGCCCCACGGCGATGTACGTGACCATCTTGTCCACGGCCAGCTCCAGCCGCAGCCCCTTGAACTTGGACTCCGAGGGCTCCTTCAGCAAGAAGTCCGAGAACACGTACTCGGTGGCCAGGTGGGCGATGGCCATGGCCGCGGCGCGCCGGGCTCGGCCCGTCAGGCCCCGGAGGGCAGCCCCGGGAACTGCCGGTGTTGGGAGCGCCGCGCGGCGCCTTCTCTCCGGCCCCGGCCCCGCCGAGGCTTTCGCTTTCCTTTTTCCGCCTCGCCAGTGGCTTCCACACCAGCCTTTGTGCCTCGGCGCGCGCGGTGGCCGGCGCCTCTGCTGGGCGCACGAGCTCTGCGCGCTCCGCCGCCGCCGCCGCCGCGCAGACCCGCCCCCACGCAGGTCCCCGCAACGCGCGCGCCACCGGGCTCAGCGCCTCTCCGCTGCCCGGAGGCGCGGGAATCAAACAGGGAACAAAGCGCTTCGCTCTTGCCTGGCCCCTCCGCTCCGCCCGGCGGCTGAAGCTGCTTCCAGGCCGGCCAGCGCGCTCAGCCCGCTCGGCTGCGCTTTTCCGGAACCAGGAGGGAAACGGAGGACCGGGGGGCGTGGAGTTTCCGGAAACCGCGGTGACGCGGGGCGGAGGGGCACGGCAGCCTCCCGCGACCCGGGCATCTACATCCCCAAAGAGATCTTCCCATCCAGAGAAGGACCTCAGTCTGATCCTTCTCGCGCTCCGCCCATCCTCATCCTCCCACTTCTGGGCACCCGGAAGTTTTGAAAACATTTCTGAAAAGCAACCCCTTACGCGGTGGACAGAATGGCCCACTTTCACGTCCCACCCCCAACATTTCCATCTGGTGATTCCGGTTAAAAGGAGCTGCGAATGCTTCAGTGAGCAACTAGGCGATCGCGCGGTGTAGATGAGCGTGTGGGGGAAGAGGGAGCCCTGGGCCCTTCCAGGAGCTCCGAGTGGCAGGGAGCACAGGTGGTGAGTCTTGATGTGACTGCTGCGCAGTGGAGCTTCTCCTGCGTTCCTTGTCGGAGCTTTGGGCTGGGAGCCCGCAGAGGGGTGACCGAGGATGAGTGGATGTTGGGGTAAAGCAGATTCGGAACCACTTACAGAAAGTGGATGCTGAGAAAATAGACAGGAGATGCTTTAATCAGCAGCATTGGGAGCAGACAGGACCTTTAAACATGATGTCTCCTTGGAGCCGGGCTGGACTGCCTTCTCTGCTTTGTATGGGGGGGAGAGGGGGGGGGAGGGGTAGTGGTGGTGCCCATGCACACAAGCCTCTTCCATATGTTCTCAACTCCCACATGTACTTCTCCACCCTGGCCTGCCCTCTGAGCATTCCCCCAAGGGCCCACACAACTCTCCACTTGGATGCTCACTGGACTTCAAACTCATAATGGCCAGAACCGAAATCCTCATCTTCCCCTCAGCCTGAACTCCAGTCTTCTGCATCTCGCTAAATGCATCACCACCCACCCATCTGCCCAACACTTCCTTCTCTCCCAGCTGCCATAACCAACTTCCAAATTCTCTTGCTTCTCTCTCCTAAATATAGAAAATTTGGCAATTCTTCTCTCCCTGCACTTCCAACACCCCAATTCAGGCCACCAGCCTCTCTCCTAACCACATAGGAATGTATCCCCTAGGCCTGCAAGCCATTCTCTCCCAGCTGCCAGAGGGAGCTTTTAAAAGCTCCAATCTGATCATGTCACCTCCCCCTTCTTAGAGTGGACGTTGCTTTTAGAATAAAATCCAAATTTCTTAGTGCAGTCACTGCCTGCCTCACCAGCTTCACTCCTTCCCACACAGCTCTTCAAGTGTATCAGGCTCCTTGCCTCCTCCAGGCCTTTCCTTGCAAAACATTCCCACAGTGGCCTTTTTGCCTGTCCAGCTCTTTTTCACCCTCTTTATCTCAGATAGATGCCACTTGTCCAGGAAAGTCTTCTCTGAGGTCGCTTTGTTATATATTCTTGCAATACGGGCACTACTGGTTATTAGCTCGTTATTGTGGGCCTTGGGAAAGGTACTTGACCCTCCTGTGCCTGTTTTCTCATCTATAAAGTGGTTCTACCTCTTACAATTGTGATAAGGATCAAATGACTTAACCTATGTAAAGTGCCGAGGACAGCTGATGAGTTCTCTATAAGTGTTACCTGTTATTGTTGCCCTCTATTTTTTCTTCTTAATATTACAACTATAATTCAACAGGTATTTGTCTAACTTTTTTTTTAAATATATTTTTATTGATTTTTTACAGAGAGGAAGGGAGAGAGACAGAGAGCCAGAAACATCGATCAGCTGCCTATGTAAAGTGCCCGCAACCCAGGTACATGCCCTTGACCGGAATCGAACCCGGGACCATTTTTTCTTCTTAAGATTACTCACAACTATAATTCAACAGGTATTTGTCTAACTTTTCATTAATGTTTGTCTCCCCCTTTATGTGGTAAGCTTCATGAGGGTAGGTCCATGCCCAGGTATACCACTCTTCTCTCTAACACTTAGCACAAATGCCTTGTACATATTTTATTAAATATTTGTTAAGTGTCTTGTATAAAATATTTTAATAAAATATTTGTTAAGTGTCTAAAGGAATCTGAAAGGTTTTCACCATGAAAATTGTTTAAAAACAAGTAGCCCAACTTACACTCATTTATCCACACTCTCAAGGCATATATTAGAGGCCAGAGATGAGCCAGTTCTGGGCTTGATGGATAGGGAAGCAAAGATGAAGTGGACGCATTCCATTGCCTCAAAGACCTCATGATTTAGTAAGATAAATAAGGCATGTGCACAGTTAACTATAATACAAGTTGGAAAGGGTAAGTGATTTTGTGAAGGGTGGGGTGTGCCAAGGTGGGTGCATAAAAGACTGAGGCCTAGTATGGATAAGTCTGGCAGGCAGAGCTGGGGCAGGAGCTTTCCAGGAGTGAATGAAAGCGTGGATGCTGTGACCTTTCTCTCCTTGTCAAAACGACACATCTAACAGGCTCAAAGGTCCCCTCTTCTGGAAGCTTTCCTGAGCCCCCAGTTGTGATGACTCACTCCCTCCCTAGCACTTTCTCCTGGTCCAGCTTTTAGCTCATTTTGCCTTGTGTGATGGGTTGCATCTCTGCTATCTCATGACATATCAAGTTCCTCTGAGGGTCTGAACAGAATCTGCAGTTTTGTAAATTGCCCTCAGCCCTGGCAGAGTTTTTTACATTGAGCAGAAAGTCAATCCACGTTTGTTGAATTTACAATAGAGGGAAGAAAGAGAACTTGCTAGGAAATGGGAGGTAGAGGCGTCTAACACTGATACAGGAAAGACGAAGGTGGGGGAGTCAGGGATGAAAAGGGTGGGGCCAGAGAAGGTAGTCTGGCCTTTTTTTCCAGCCAGTATTAGGGAGTGTTTGGAGAGAAGTAATGTAAGTAGAGTTGTGCTTTAAAAAGGTGAATCTTGCCGAACCGGTTTGGCTCAGTGGATAGAGCGTCGGCCTGCGGACTCAAGGGTCCCAGGTTCGATTCCGGTCAAGGGCATGTACCTTGGTTGCGGGCACATTCCCAGTGGGGGGGCGTGCAGGAGGCAGCTGATCGATCTCTCTCATCGATGTTTCTAACTCTCTATCCCTCTCCCTTCTTCTCTGTAAAAATCAATAAAATATATTAAAAAAAAATAAAATAAAATAAAAAGGTGAATCTGCCAGCCACATATAGAGTGGATTGGAACACATATTGGAGGTGGGGAGGCCAGGTAAGAGGCTGTCGAAATTTTGCACATTCATCACAACTGGGGGAGTAGTGAGATCCCAAACTGGCGCCCTGCCTTTGAGGACAGAGGTGAATGGCACAAAAGAAAGTGATAGTTAAGGGAGCCATTTTTCCTACTATAAAAATCAGATCAAATCATCTGATGTGTGCCAAGGTTTTTGGGAGGCAAAAGAAAGCAAATCAACTCCTAGATTTGCCACTTACTTGCTGTCTGATCAAGGATGTGTCACTGGAAATCTGAGCCTCAGTTTCTTCACTTACCAATTAAGGCTAACACTGCCTGCCTCACCAGGTTGTTCTGAGCATTACATGTGATAATATATGTAACAGTGCCTGCCACTTCATGGGTGCTTAGCATTATGATAGCTGTCATTATCAACCTCAGAAGTTTAAGGTGTCACACCAGAGTGTATGTAACATTGCTTTTTTTAAAAAATAGACTTTAATTATTAGAGCCATCTCATAGTTACAGAAAAATTGAGCAGTTGGTACAGAGTTCCTATATACCTCCACTCCTGCACCCATTCCCCCCTATTATTAACATCTTATATTGGTGATACATTTGTTACAATTAATGAACCTATATTGATACATTAATATTCATTAAAATTTCCTTAACTTTTACCTCCTATCTTTTTTCTGTTCTAGGATTCCATCCAGGATACCACATTATATTTAGCTGTGTGGACGAAAAAGGGGTCACATACTAAACCTGACACGCTCAGGGGAGGCCTGCATGGTGGGCCTTACAAACTAACAGACTGAAAGTAACCACATAGGATGATCTGAACATAAAAATTTGCAACTAATAGCAAGTCATGGCAGATAGTCCTCGGCAGGTATCTTCCTTGACAAAGGTCAATCTTTACCTTAAGTGAGCATGTTTATTGTCTTTTTGCATCTAAGATAACATACCTTTGGAATGTCAAAGTAATCCCTTTTTTCCAGGCCCCCCAGGTCACAGTCTCCTAGAGCAAGAGACCACAGAAACCCTCACTGTTATCTTATTGCCCAAATACCATCTCTGTGCTATAACTGTTAATTGTTAACTACCCTTTACTCACCAATGTAAAACATGGACATGTGTCTTTGGTTTACTTTTTGTCCAGTCTCAGAGATTTTCCTGCTTTGCTTTCTCTCGCCTTCCTAATCTACCACCAATGGATTTCATGTAACCTGGCTTATGTCTTCTTTGATTCTAGTGTATAAAATAAGCTGTAAATTACACAAATGTCTAATCACTATGTTGTACACCTGAAACTAACATAATATTGTATGTCAACTGTAAGTGAAAATTTTTTAAGTTATTAAAAAGATGAAAATTAAAAAAAACAATTAAAATAATAAGTTGCAAAACTGCCATTCTCAGGAGCTTTTTCTCAATGCATTGAGATGTTGCTTCCCAGAAATTGTCATCAGTTTGGCTCAAATAAACTGTTATAAGACTTTTTCTTAGGCTGGACATTCTTGTGTGGACAGTTGTCATGTCTCCTTAGCAACTCTTGGCTGTGACAGTTTCTTAGACTTCCCTTGTTTTGATATTGCTTTTTTACAATCATCGTAAGGTACATCCGGGGATAAAATAGTCCTCCCTGCCCCCACCCCTTACCCCAGTGTCATTTGTTTGAAGGAGGCCAAGGCAGTAGTGGGCCTCAAAGCTACTGCCCCAGAACTGTTTTGTTTGTTTGAGACCTTTGACTTTTGACCCTGGAATATGTGACCTTTTGCAACCAAAATAGTCTAAGTCAAAATAATTGAGCTCACTACACTGTCTGTTCTGTTTATATAGTCATTCATTTATTCAAGTAATATTTGCTGAGCAACTATTATGTATCTGTACTATGGTCCACGCTGGGGATGCAGCAGTGAACAAAACAGGTCAGGCATCTTGCTGTGACTGGAGCCAAATTCCAGTCAAAGAGGCAGATATTATTAAAATTAACAGAGCAATTAAATGTTTATGTAGTGTGATAAGTGCTACAAAGGAGAACAATAGAGATAGGCAATAACAAGAAGAGGGACCCACTTTAGAGAAGGCATTCTAGGAAGCTCACAGCTGAAATGCAAAAGGTAGGAATAGTATGAGGGTGCTGGAGAGGAAGAGCATCCCTGGCATAGAAAGCAGAACACGCAAAGGCCCTGACGTGAGAAAGAACTAGTAGGGCACAAGAACTGATACAAGCTAGAGCAGAGTCGAAGTTGGAGAGGTGGGCCTGGACCAAATCAGAATGGGCCTATGGACCAGGCTAAGGAGTTTGAATATTATTAAAAGTGAAACGAAAACATTGATAAGAATAAAGCCAGAGTCCAAAACAGGGTTATTAACTCTGAAGCCCGTGATCTTTCTGCAGTGTTATAATGTCCGCCCTAAATCCGTAACTCTAAAATTAAAATGGGTTAGATGGGTGGGGGCTGCCCAGAATGGGTAGGCAGGTGGATTAGAAACAGACTGTCTAGATAGTAGAAAAGGAATGGTCAGTGAGGGGATTATTGACTTAGTGAATGAGATAAATAAGCTAAAAATAAGTTGACTAATGTTTGTGCATTTCCTGTTTATATTTCTGGTGTCGGCAACTGGGGAATTTGGGTTTTTTTCAGAAAGGAAAAGGAAAATGAAATTAAAATGGAAAAATATTGCAGGGTATTTGCCAGGAAGTGATGTGTCAGATGTGGAAGAACACTGCTGCAGCTGTGTGGGCTGG